CCTGGGGCTGGGGCTGGGCCTGGGCCTGGGCCTGGGGCTGGGCCTGGGCCTGGGCCTGAGCCTGGGCCTGGGCCTGGGCCTGGGCCTGGGGCTGGCTGTGCCTGTGCCCTGACGCGCATCCTGTCTTCTTCAGTACTGCAATGGTGGTGACCTAGCTGACTACCTACACAGTGAGTGGACACCTCAGTGGGCAGCGCGCTAGCCAGGAGGGGTTGCTGAAGTGGCTCTTGCTGGCCGGGGGCATGGGGCCTGTCTCTTGGTGCCCCGAGGTAGATGGGAGGGACTCTGCCACGGTGGATGCTGCCTGCCACCTGCCCACTCCAGGACTTAGTGCAGGTCCCACGTGCTCCAGGATGGCTGTGGGCTGCGTCAGGGGTGAGGAAGCAGAGTTGTAGTGAGGGTAGGCACTTGGGTGGCTGTGTGGCGGCCGAGAGGGCACCCTGTACCTGGAAATAGGAACACGGCAAATGGGGTGGCAGGCAGTGCTGCAGGACCCGTGGGGTGTCGGGAAGTGGGGGCAGGCAGGGTTGGGGAGACTCTGGCCTGCACAGCCGAAGGCGGGTGTCACCATCTGTCCTGGTCCTCGGGCTGTGGCAGCAGAGCACCTCCGACCCGTGCTTGATGACTGGGGGCTGTGGTGGGCTTGCTGCTCCTGTGGCCTGCATTCCAGCACCCACCGCAGGGCCCCGGCCCGGTGAGCATTCCCGTACCTGACTCGGGAAGGAGCCTGGGTGGCTTTCTCTGCTCTGAGGCTGCCTCCCTCTGCTGGGGGTGCTGGGTCGTGCCCCCCTCCCCCCTTGCCACTGAACCTTCGGGGCTGCCGGAGAGGAAGCGGGTCCCCAAGAGGGCGCTGCCATCCCCCGAGCTGCCACACCACCTGTCGGGCTGTGACAGGCGCCCCTGAGCCTGCCTTTCCTGTAGCCATGCGGACCCTGAGCGAGGACACCATCAGGCTCTTCCTGCAGCAGATCGCGGGTGCTATGCGCCTGCTGCACAGCAAGGGCATCATTCACCGTGACCTGAAGCCGCAGAACATCCTGCTGTCCAACCCCGGAGGACGCCGTGCGAACCCCAACAACATCCGCGTCAAGATCGGTGAGTCCCTGGACGGTGAGCCCCTGGGCGCTGAGCCCCTGGACGGTGACCCCTGGGCGCTGAGCCCCTGG